AGGAACAAAAATCATTCCCAAATGTGCCAACTGAGTGATAGCAGTTAAAGCTGTTGTTTCTTGTCCTCCTCCTTGAGTACCGGTTGACACAAAAATACCCGCCAATTTCCCAACAAGTTGACCACTTTGCCACAAATCTTACAAAACTCGGAATAAACATAGATAACGAAAGTACTCAAACTTACGTCCAAGTGAATCAAACATAGCCTTCATTTGTGCGCACATCATACCAAAGCGAGTAGGAAACCCGAATATAATGGCATCTGCTTCCACGAGCTTATCGTGAAGTTCAAATCGCAGCACAGGGTCACTAGGTTTAGGAGGTGCCTTAAGAAGCTTTAAAATATCATCAGAAAGAGTCTCAGGAACTTGATACAGCTCGACTTCGCAACCCTCCGATTGGGCACCTTCCACCACTTGATCGGCCATCTTCTTAATGTGACCATACATAGAATCTACAGAGGAGTAAGAGAAATAATTTATAATAAAAGAAACTTACAATAAACTACCAGAATCTTCGTCATTTTATACGAACCCAAAGTTTCAAAAATGAAACTACCCAACGTTCTCAATTTCCCCCTTAAAAGAAACCTCACAAGTCTAATCGAAATTCCATTCAAGCTCTCTCCAATTCCTTGTCCAAAGGACATTCTTGAACAGCAAGTATCTTCTATTTCAAACAATAAGATATACGACTAAAAGTCTTCACATGATAATTTGTTATCACAGCAAACTACTTGAAGAAACTTCAACAAAGTTTCTGCTTCTTCAGAAGGTGACAAATGCATACTTTGAAAGTGCTCCTCCGCCATATGAACGAGATTCTGCCGAGGAACATTAGTCAACTCTGAGCAACGCTTATTCAAATATCGGTCAACATATCTCATTAAAGAACATTCTCCTATCCGATCAAATAAACGTATGGACTTGTCCCTATTTGAGCATTCATCTGGAGAGGATGTCAGGAAGCTACTATCCATCTCGCAGTTATTCACTTGATGGAAATCATTATCCACTTGAAATGTAGCAGGAACTCTCGAACTATTGTTGTTCAATTGCTTAATTTCGTTATCCAATTGTTCCTCTGTCTTTCTATTCGGATATTTCCGTCTCTTTGGGGACGTAGTATTACATGGCTCGTTTCTTTCCATCTTGTCTTCACATCCAA